TCATACAACTCTAGAGGAATGGATAGAGGTAGAGGTAGAGGACGAGGGCGTGGAGGTCGTGGAAATAGAGATTTCAACAAGAACTCTAGAGGCAACAATGACCAATTTCAAGGCAATGATAGAGGGAGAGATCATAATAAATCAAAGGTAGAATGCTTTAGATGTCATAAATTTGGTCATTATGCTTTTGAATGTTATACTAGACTGCCTAATCTTAAAGAAAAGGGTGAAAGTTCAAATTTTATCGAGGAGAAAGAAGTAGAAACCCTGTTGATGGCAATTGAAGATGCAAAAAATAGCGAGGCAGAAATTTGGTATGTTGATACTGGCTGTAGTAATCACATGAGTGGAAGTAAGTCATCTTTCTCATATTTAAATGAAAATTTTCACTCTACCGTGAGCTTTGGTGATTGCTCTACTATGAAAGTGATGGGAAAAGGTGATATAAAAATAAAAACCAAGAATGGTTTTGTAGAAACAATTTCTAATGTGTTTTATGTCCCTGACTTGAAAAGCAACTTGTTAAGTGCTGGTCAATTACAAGAAAAAGGTTATGAAATTTTTATTAGCAAAGGTTCTTGTGAAATTATTGATCCTGTTCGAGGTGCTATTGCAGTTGTAATCATAAGTTCAAACAGGCTATTTCTGTTGAAAATTGAAACATTCAATCTGGTTTTTTTGGCTAAAGCTACTAATTCTTCTTGGTTGTGGCATTATCGTTATGGCCATTTGAGCTTTAGTGGAATGAAGACCCTTTAACAAAAAAACATGGTGACAAGCCTTCCACAAATTACTATTCCTTCTCATGTATGTGAAGAATGTGTTGTTAGCAAACAACATCGTTCTCAATTCCCTAATGGAAAATCATGGAGAGCAAAGAGTGTTTTGGAATTGGTTCATTCTGATATTTGCGATCCAATAAATCCTTCTTCTAATGGAGGTAAAAAATACTTCATTACTTTCACAGATGATTTTTCTAGAAAAACTTGGGTCTATTTTTTGCAGGAAAAATCTGAAGCTCTCTCTTCATTCAAAAGCTTCAAAGCTCGAGTTGAAACTGAATCGGGAAAAACTATTAAGTCTTTTCGAACAGACCGTGGTGGAGAGTATTGTTTAGATGAATTTTCTATTTTTTTGTGAAAAACACGAAATCCGGAAGGAGTTAACAACAACATATACACCATAACAAAATGGTGTTTCAGCGAGGAAAAATAGAACCATTCTCAACATGGTACGGAGCCTCTTGACTAAGAGTGGTGTTTCAAAAGATTTTTGGCCTGAAGTTGTTAACTGAAGCGTGCACATTCTAAATAGAAGTCCCACATTTGATGTGAAGAATATGACACCAAAGAAGGCAAGGAGCGGGAGAAAACCAACTATGGACCATTTCAGGATTTTTGGGTGCATTGCTTATGCTCATATTCCTGACAAGAAAAGATCAAAGCTTGATGACAAAGGTGAAAAATGTATCGTTCTTGGTGTTAATGATCAATCAAAAGCATATAAATTGTATAATCCTATCACTAAAAAGATCATTATTAGTCGTGATGTTGTTTTCAATGAAGAAATATTTTGGGAAAATAACATAAATGAAACAAAGAAAATACTTGCAAACTTTGATGGAGATAATGAAGATGAAGAGTCACAGCCAATGGAGCTAGAAGAACAACAAATTCCAATAGCCACGTCTGAAGAAGAGAGACCTCAACGTGCAAGGAGAAGACCTACATGGATGTCTGATTTTGAGGTAACAGGAATTAAAGACCCCATTACACCTCCAACGTAGCGAGAAGATTAGTCACTGCTATCGGCGATAGATACTTCAGGGACGAACAAAAAAAAAACATATAATTATTTTATCTAATTAAATTATTTATGACAAAAGATATTTATGGTATACATAAAAAAAGCTTTGTCGATATGCATATAACAAAAACAAAGGTGATAAGTTTTTTTGGGTACACATTTTATATCCATTTTTATTCTTATAACACTTCTTTGTAAATTATTATTTTTAAAAAAGTTTCACACATTTTATATCCATGATGGCCCGTTGATTTTTCTTTTGGATTTGCTATTAGTGGATCATCGTACTGGACCATGTAGCCGATAGAGGCCTATAACATTGGCTGTTGTCAAAACCAATTCGAAACAGCAAATATATTCAACATATGAAGCAATATATTTCAAAAAAGAGAAGCACCTAAATCTGTCCAATTACAATATATTCTCATCCCTCCTCCTCCCTCAAAAACATAATGGTCAACAAATGCATCACCATCTTCAAACAGCAAAATCACGCAGCTATATTTCAGTATCAATCACCTTATCAAATCTAACACATAAAAATATCATAATTAACCTGCATAAGTGTCGCTGTGAACTGTGATAAAGCTTGCTACACAACCAAATTGTGCAAACGATTCCTTGCTGCAGCTAGCAGGCCTTTTCCAAGTCCAACATAATTTGATTTAGTCACCCAACCACCATGCCACTCCAAAACCTCTTCAACAATTAATCCAAAATTGAAATGCACAATTTTATTTAATTTCCTCCTTTTTTTTTTTTTTAATTTCATTTGATCGATTAGCAATATCACATAGCCAAGTGAGCCACCTTCTACCCTTCGTGCATTTATTAATGTCGAGTAAATTAAAATAAAAGATGCGAAATTGGTTAAAGAATCACACAATCACATACACAAGCTAATTGGAAGCCAAATCTTTGATTAAAAAAAAAAAAAACTTAAAACAATGAATAAACTTTTCACATTCCGAAGATCTTATAAATATTTTAAAACAAAACCAATGAAAGATAAACACACATGAAGATCCAAAACATTTTAACTAAACCCAAGTCTCGGTGTAATGCTTCTACCAAAACATGTCAACAAAAAAACTGCAGCAAAACAACAATTAAGACCTAAGTTTCTCCTGCATCGATCAACATCTAATTGATTCTCACCTTTAAATAACATTAAAATCTAAATATAAACAAAAGAAACAAATAAAAAAGAGTGAGATAAATCTCACTCAGGTTCTAGGTATAAAATAAAGGATAGAAAACTCAAACACAAATCATATAAACAATTAAAACATGTAAATTATATTGATACATGTAATTACAAAACAATATGTTATACTATGCAATTTTCTCTTTTGGAATTTAATACAACTGTGTGTGATGTCAATTCAAAAACTTAGCACATATTTAGAATATTTAGAGTAGTCTAAAAGTATATAATGGTTGTCAAATTATCACACCGTAAATATCCTACACTATTATTCTTAATTAAGGTGAGATTCATGGGTGGCTTGTTAGGGATTCATTATCTTACAATCAAAAACCAAATTTCTTTTGCTTAATTAATATATATTTAATTACCTAACAAAAATCAAATTACTTACAAGTAAAGATCATGTCTTTTTCATATAAAACTAGTGTTTCAAATTAATTTTTAGGCAAATGATTATTTGTTATCTTAGTTAAATAAATTATCCAACATTTATTTACTTGGAAATACTTAAATTATATATATATATATATATATATATATATCAATTTCTTAAAATTA